CCGCCGCCTCTACCGCCGCCGCCGCCGCCGCCGCTGCTGCACACGGGTCTTAGTACGCAGGCGCCGACTCCCCACTGACCAACCAAGCAGCCCTATGACAGCCGCGCAAGCGTGCTACCTAGCTCCTTCGCCCTCCACCCCCGCACTGCGCAAGCGCACAGGCCCTCCCCGGTCTCCACCCTCTCTTCCACCTACCCCTCCAATGACGCGCAGACGTGACCCTGCCCCTCACAAATCCTGAGCGCCTCCAACAAGTAAACAACGCGCAGGCGCACCCGGTTTTTAATCCCTTCAACCTACTCTATCTTCCCTTTGGTAGACCCCTCGCCCTACCGGACGAACATTGCGCCTGCGCAATAGGGAGTCCTGTGCTCCACACCCTCTGAAGGAAACGCCTCGGTTTTAGAACGCATGCGTGTTGGGAATCCTAAACGCCCCTTCCACCTCAGACGTCGTCTGTACGCCGGGCGTTGAAAAGACCACGCCACTGAATCACTAGCCGAGTCCAGAACGCATGCGCCCTAGGAAACGCCTCACCTCGGCTCTAACTGGATTTAAACGACCCCACACGTATCAGAAAAATTGCTGTGTGAGATGGGTCCCTCGCTTGGGAATCCTTCCCCTCAGTTCCACACATGCGCGAGAGCTTACTTTCCGCTCCAGTCTTCCTAGCGCTCTAGTGTGGTCCGGTTACCCCCAGTCTGGACTTGATTTCTCTAAACTCTGCGCCTCTGTTCTGCCAGGGTTTCAGCCGGAAAGACAGCAGTACTATACCAGCCACCATCTTAATTCCTGGTCCATGTTTCTTCCACAGAGGCCGTTACAAACTCTTAAATCCTAAATAAACGTAGTGTTTGTTCTTCCCAGCTGGGCTCTGCACGTTCCAAAAAAAAAAAAAGTGTCAAACTCCCTTACAAAAACTTCTCTATTAGAGGGGTTGTATGTTAAATTGCATTGACAGTCTCTAAATCAGAAGATGACCAAGAAACTGGAAACACTTGGTCCAGCGAATTCTTGGAGTTTATTTCCATTACTTTATGGCTACTTGGACATGCCAGTTAGCTAGGTGGATAACAGGACTGTAAATTGACTAACGATCTGGTCTTGGAATCCAGAACCCTGAATCCTGATTCTTGTTTTGTGGCTTTGAGAAATGACTAAGTAATTCTGCCTTAATTATCTTCTCATAAGGGTAGTAACGACATCTAAGGTTTCCAACTCGCCAGGATGTAAACTGTAATGTGGTACATCAAGTACAGACAAAAGCTGCAATTACTGCATTTGTATACCTACCTCATGACACTGCTCAACCCCAGATATTTTCAGTTTTTAAAATTCTTATCCTTTCCCTTGTTTAAAACAAACTTCCTGGGTGCATTTTTAAAACTCTTAATTCCTGTTTTCAAAGATGTTTTGTTCATATGCCCCAGCCATTCCACTTATATGTATATATCAGCCGAAATTAAAAACATACTGAGGTGGGAGATGTAGTTTAGCAGTAGAGAGCTTACCTAGATTATGAGAGGTCCTGGTTTCCATCCCCGGCACCACTAAATAAACAAACAAATAAAATAGATTCCAAACCTTGCATGTTAATTAGTCACAGTAGCACTTATTTATAGTAGCCAAAAGATAGAAACAACCCAAACTTCCATCACAAATGAATGGATGAGGAAATTGTATCACAGCCATTCAATGTCAATCAGCCATAAAAAGAAGGAAGTACTGCTGAAACATGATATAACTGGATGAACCTTGGCAACATTATGTTTAAAAAAATCACAATCTTATTTTCTATGATTCCATTGATATAAGATATCCAGAGTAGGTATATCCATAGAAATAGGAAGTTGGGTTAAGAGGGGAGGGACCATTTAATGGGTATGAGACTTTATCTTATTTTATTTATTTATTTTTTTTTTTGCGAGAAGGTCTCACTGTGTAGTTGTCTGGCCTGGAATTTATGGTGGTCCTCAGCCTAGGATTATAGGTGTGTACCACCTTGCCTGGGAAGTTTTTAGAGTTTTGAAAATATTTTGCAGCTATACAGAGGTGAATGTATGAAATGCCACTAAATTGTTCACTTTAAAATGGTTAATTTTGGAGTGGGAAGGGAGGAGAGAGGAAGGGGATGAAAAAAGAACTAACAGGTATTATGTATATTTATTAATTTCACACAATGAGTGTAATCATTATATACTGCAAACATCTACTAAATGGTTTTTATGTGAATTCCACATTGGTGTTTAAAAAACTTTTGTGCACAGATGTTGAAAGTGGAATTATTTATAATAACAAAAAATGGTAACAAGCCAAACGACTTTAGTTAATGAAGGAATAAGTAACACGTGGCAAATACCTATGAAGAAAAATTATTCAGCAATAAAAATGAAGTACCAGGTACATGTTACAACATGGATGAACTTTGAAAACATTTTGCTTATCAAATGTCAGAAAGCATCACATAGTTTAGAATGGGTGTAGCTTAGTGGTAGAGTGCCTACCTATCATGCACTAGGCCCAGAGTTCCAAACTCAACATCACAAAATAAATAAATAATAAAAATCACATAGTTTATGATTACATTTTTGGGGGCAGTACTGGGAATTGAACCTAGGGCCTTCGCAGTGAGATATATATATAT